TGCACGAGGAGCTGCGACTTATGAGCGTGTGAGTGAACATATAAGATAATATACTTTATTGATCCCAAATTGGGGAAATGTTTCATTCCAGCAGCATGTAAAACAAGGCATTGCACATATTAGAAGTTAAAGTGGACCTATCATGCTATATTTGAATAATATAGTGTAGGACCATACCTATATAAGGCATATTTATACTTTTTATTTTTCAAAATACCAAACAGATCATGCATTTTATCCTTTCCTCATTTCGCCTTTCATGCTCGGATTCAGTGAGAACAGCACCATCTGATGGCCTGAAATATGTACTACAGCGTCTCCAGCTCTTTCGAACGGCAATGTCCGTGGCTGTCTCCTCCTGATTGGTGGAGTTGGCCCAATAGCCGTAGCACAACTTCTGTGACGACATAAAAGTGTTCAAATCTGGATCAGTCTGTATCAGATCCGTTGCAGCCCCTTTTTAAGAGATTTGGGTGTGGAGGAAAAGAGAGAGGGTTGTGTTTTCTGACTCTTGGTGAGTTCCCTGACACACCGGGGACACATATTCATGTATAAAAGACGTACAAAGGTGCATTATGCATGATAGGTCCCCTTTAAGGGAGAGTATGGATATAAGAACATATGAAAGACTGAAATAAGTCTTAGTAACAAAATAACTGTCTTTAAAAGCTGCTCAGTGTTGCATGTCACATCTCCACCACAAGATGGTGGAATGGTTCCACTGAAAATAATCCTGTCCGATTGAGAGCTGGAAAAGGACATGACAGCTTTTTCTGATAACATTTTAGCATTTGAGCTCTTGTCTGTGCAACAAACATGCGGTTTTCCCCATACATTTATTTCTAAAAGGCAAATCACAGAATCAAAGTGTACAATAATGTTCTACTTTATTTAACTATATATTTTGCTGGGTTTTTTAAGTCAAATTATCTGGTTAAATAGTTTTAAAAAGATGGTTTGTAATTGTTTAATGGACAAAATGTTGTCTTCAACTAATGTATCATAGCCAGAAAGAAAACACTATATTTACTTAAAGAGAATATACATTTTAGTAATATATGGTATCATGAAAACATCTAAGGTCCTCCTGATCTCCTAAACTGTTCCTCAAATTACATTTTATGTTATCTGATTTAGAAAAAAAATGAATACCAACATGAACAAACAGGAAGCACACACACAAAGAAACACACATTATTCACAGACCTACAATTGACAAACAGTGGCATCAGTTCCAGGATCTTAAAGCTGGTTAAAAGGCTCTTTCCAGCAGACACACTTGTTTCTAGTGTTCCAACACATAGGAGCAGCTGCCCAGACTAAACGGACATCCTGTGACTCAGTCCAACACTCACCTCCAGAAACTTGTGAAACGCTGGTTTGGCCTCCTTGGCAATCCTCACAGCATCTTTGGCATTGAGAAAGTTGTCGATGTACGCTGAATACATATTAGCTAGAGTCTCTTTGGAGAACTGGAGAAGAAGAGGAAAGTAGATTTAAGTTACTATTAGTACAGTTTTATGTACACTTGTTTAAAATCAATTTGATGGCAGTCCATTGAGTTTGTAAAGCTAGAGAGTTATTGAATTAAGTATAAATATATTCAAATAAAAAAAGTATGCCTTTTTATGTATATTTATATTTCCTGTTACTTTTCAATATAGTAAGATGTCAAGTGTTTTTCCTTTTACGTTTTAAGACTCCTAACACCTCCTACAGATAGGAGACAAATAATTGTTTCAGTGCTACTTTAATTCATTTTAAGCCTATTATATACCCTTAACAGCTAACATTTAGGACATTTTTAATTTCTCACTTTGTAATTAAATCATAACAAAAGCTGAAGAGAGCTGTAAATGGAAAGATTAACAAAGAAACCTTGGTGTAAGTATTTTTTTTTAAAAAAGAGGTACTTTGAGTCCCTCAAATCCAGCATAAACACATGCAGGTGATTCACCATGACCTGCTTTTTGTACAAATAGATGGTGACAGAGTTAAAAAGCACAAAGTGTATTGAACGTCAGAGAGTAAACAGCTTTCTACCCTTTTGTGGAATAACCTCATGGGAGGGAAACTATTGCAAGTATCTTTGTCATAACAGACGACAAAATTATGATTAAGCTGTGTCTAAAACACACAGAACCATTGATTCAGGGCTGTGAAATCTATTTGATTGATATTCTTCACAAATGTATATATATTTCTGTTCTGTGAAAGCTAACATTGTCCGCAGACGATCCAGCAATGATTCACAGATGCTAAATAATCTGCCACTTCAAACATGATATTTGATATATGATAATATATCATATATTGTGCCATTCTTTGACACGAGAACATAAAAACTCTGCCCCGTGTGAGGCTCGAACTCACGACCTTCAGATTATGAGACTGACGCGCTGCCTACTGCGCCAACGAGGCCTGAAAAATATATCAGCTGCAGGCGCTCTAAGAGCTGCAGCGGAAACAGAATGCGGGGGAGGATTGAGTGAAGCAGTGGGGGAGGGTAGCTCAGTCTGAGCAGTGTGGAAGATCTGCAATGGCTTCACCCAAAGAGAAAAAGACCCTCTATTCTTCCTTTCCTGCATGACAATATTCCATTATGTCTTGATATTGGTATATTCAAACGTTCTCTTTAAAAGGAAAACCACAGCAACGTATAACACACAAAAATTGTATGCAATGAATCTGTGAATTTATTCTTGTAAAGTCTTGTAAAATTTGGGGATTTTTTGTTTTATGGTTAGGCCAATTGTCCTCAACCTTCTTCTTCTACTGCTTGTAATTCAGTTGGGCCGTTTCCCGCATTTACGACATTGTTCTTTTGTGACAGTTTGTGTCTCCAGTGAGAGTCTGTGAAAAGGTTTTATTCAAGCTGAGAGGGATAACAAAAGCATTAACATAGCAAGAGAGTGAGGGTTTTTCCCACTTAATAAAAAACAAAAGCTTGAGCCACACGGCATTCTGGTCTATTGAAACTGGGATCTACTGTGCATTTCTGACTTCATGTAAACTGTTGGCTTCTTCCCTTCTGAAACACTGAAAACTTTAGCCTAACACTGATGTTTTAGAGAACTGCTTTTCAGAATCTAGGTTAAGAGCCGCCCTCGGGTCATGGGAAACTTTAAATGCCAATAGGTCACCAGGAAAACAAAATATTAACCAGTGTTGCCAACTATAGGCTGTCTCCGATTACAAAAAGCTTCCCTTCAGCCCACTCCGCTGTCACTTGTGTTTTTAAAAGAACGTTAATTAATTTAACCTTTCGAGTCTGTACAAACCCTTTAAGGGTATGTCATGTCAGGACAAGTAGCTTTACTGCTGCACCAATATTTGGAAAAACACCCTTGTTTTAGGATAACATTGGAACTTAATTCAAAGTAAAACTCTTATCTTTTTTACCAGTTTTAACTTAAAAAAAGGGAAGACAGAATTTGAATCGTTTTCTAGAGTCGAATGACAGTTTGCTAGCAGACTTTAAAGGAAATTCTATCCCTATCTTATCTTACAATGATAATAAAAACTAAGTAACAAAAGAACCATACAATTCTCCCCGTCACGGTGCATTGAAACTTTAGAGGGGAATCAGTTGGACTTCAAGGTGCTATCATTACTTATGGTTGATTCATATATTTGCATTATTTCCCCCCTGGCCTCACTGTTTTATGACAGATGCTATTAAGAGCAGTAAAGTGTTTCTGGTACTATCAGAGGTAATGCTTTGCACTTCTTATCATTAAAAATTGCTGCTTAGGACACCTTTTGTTATCTCTACTCACTGATTTGATGAGGAGATGTCCGACAGTCTGTCTATCGTGCCATTGGCTGACGCAGCCAGAAACTTGCTCCAGGAAGTACTCGTGGTGCTCCAAGATCTCCGGGATTTGGTAAAACATCTCGTCCACCAGCAGAGGGTCCACTATGGAGCCGCTGTCTGGCTGTTTGAGAGGACGCATGTAGCCCTGAGGGGAGAACACAAAACAGTTCGTTACAGACCATTTTGAATATTTTTTGTTGGCTTAAAATTTCTTCCAGCAGTCAGGACTGTTTGGGTAATTTCATTGGTGAAACTTCTGTTGTTCTGTTGATCAAACATTACAACCCTGAGCTAAACATTTTTTATTTAACCTTTATTTAACCTGGTAAGTTATGTAGGACAGTTTTTTTGTGACCGAAAACATTGCTGCTCAAAATCACAGTCAGAACGAAATGACGTGAATGCAGCACAGGCTGTGTTGATGTGAATGCCAAAAAAAACAGATTAAGCTTTATTAAAGTAGGTACATCCGAAGTTTGTCTGCTTATTATTTACATAATCTTATCCTTCTTTTCTTCTCCTCTTAACTTTATTTCCTTTTCTTTCTTAGGTCTCAAGGTGCCTCAATACACAAAATAAATCAGCTTTTGCAGATTTATTAGCATCTTAACAAGTCTGACTATGACACATACTCAAAACACTGAAATCCAATAAAGCTGAGAGAAATTTAGAGATTCAATTTACTGTGTAAAACAGACTCAGACAGATGCGACCCAGAGGCTCCGGAAGATATTAAATCGTGAGTGGCTCATCGACTAATTTATGACACATACTGTATGATGACTAATCCAATCTGCAGTTTTAAAAAATATATAGAGAAGAAAGTTGGGATAAAGAGAACTTAAAGCTTTTTCAGAGCAGCAGTGATTCAGCCGACACAATGGCAGTTTTATATACATGGTTAATATTGAAACAAAACGTCTTTCTTAGATTACAGGATGAGGTTTAAGGTATCGTTAGGGTTGTATGGGGTAAAATAAGCATGTGGTTACTTTTGACGGCAACAGGGTCTTCTAGGTGAAAATCTTTTGTCTTTATATTCCCACTTTATGCGTAATAATTATTATGCCCACTAGAGGTCCTCGCCTTACAATGTTAAACCTCTGTGATCCGGCTATAGAAATAAAGGCCTACTGAGTTGATTTAGAGTTAGAGTATGGCCATTTAAACTCTCTATGTTTACCATTTATTGAGCTAATACAATTTCACAGCAGGTGGTGACAGGAACCTCCCAAAGTTCCCAAAAAAGGAACAGAAAGAGGCAGATTTAAACTTTGGACATTAGCGCTATAGAGCCGTCTCAGCTGAACCGCATCCGACACTTTCCTTCAGGGATCTCCACTCTCACTGCAGTCACCGTGGTAACACTTGCTTTCACTGTGTCACCATGGGAACAGCCCAGGATTATTCACTTTGTGGCCACACATAGAAACACATGCATGTGGAGAGAAGTCAGTGAGCATGTGGAATATGCATGCACACTCACACAGATTTCACACAGATGTATGCGAGCCAACACTTTAAATAGAGACAGGCTATACAACAGGTAAGTTAGAAGAAGGTGAAGAGTGTTTTTCTGACAGAGAGATAGGGTGCAGCTAATATTTGGGGTAAAGGTTAGTTGGCTAATGAAAGAGATAGGTGTAGGGTATAGGTGTGTGTGGGCAGATAATGCTGTTGACAGTGAGACAGTGTTTAGCCTGACAGGATAAATGACAATAAGTGGATTACATAACACCTTATGTGTTACCTACATTTGTGCTTCACATCCACAGTAATCTGTTAAACCACCTGTGTGTTTCTGTCTGTGAGTGTGTGGTGGCAAATCACTCGGTGAACATATTGTTAGCTCAGAGATGTAAGAACCGAGCTGTGTATGAGCTAGCCATGTGTGTGGTTTTTGAATGAGTTTTTTGAATGAGTGTTACCTGAATGAGACTTCGGAGTGACTCCACATATGACTGCTCTGTGTCCACGAGGGTCATCATCACATGTTTCCTCATGTCCTGTAAAAACAGAAGAAAGTTTATCATCATTTATCATTTATTTATATCATCAATGATCTATACGAACAGTCTACTAAAGGCACAGCACCCAAACGCACGTCTGCATTTTAAAAGTAACTAAAATGTTAATGAATCAACCCAAGCTTAAATAAAGTTAATTAGAAAAGCAATTTTGTATTGCTCCATGGCGTTGAAAAGCCTTGCAAGGCCTTAAAGCTTGTTGTCAGTTTAGTGGCCTATATTATAAACATTATTATCAAAAAGGCAAACATAGACAAGACTGCAAAGATGTTACGACACACTCACACACACCAGCACCCACACACACGGACCGGATTATAGGTCACTGGGGCCAGGAAGTCCACAGAGGCAAAACATGACTCAGCTGTTAACTCTTACAATGACTCGTGATTTATTGAAGTGCAAGTGAATGAAAACTCTAAAAACTCATTGAAGGAGAAAAAAAAGCGAGTGTGACACATACAGAGACAGATAATGGAAAAAGGCGGCTATACAAATTATAACAAAACGCGTAAATTAATTTTGTTATGTACACCTTTTCTACGCCACAAGAGACACATTAACACATTATTATTATTAACACACATTAGGAGCTAAAAGACAAATATTTATGAAAAAAAAGCTCCATCTTTCCTCTGTTAAAATGTGATGAATTCTATCATATGACTTGAGACAGGCTACGTGTATGTATGTATGTATCTGTTTGAGTGTAGAGAAGGGTGGAAGAATAACAAAGGGAATATATGGATCATGGAACAAGTCAGCCATATTATCTCAGGGGTCTCAGGGGAGTATCCCAAAATATTCTGGTACCAAACACATCTTATAAATATCACATGGAGCCACAGGCAAAACCCTATGGTCCATATGTAACCACCATGTCTCCCACTGTCTGACACACACACACACACACACACACACACACACACACACACACACACACACACACACACACACACACACACACACACACACACACACAGGACCTGAGAGCTTTCCAGATTTCGGTAACGAAATTGACGCATGCACATCAACTCTTTCTTTCTCTTTTTTCTTTATTTAGATGTCAGCCAAACAAACACACATACAGAGAGAGAGAGAGAGAGAGAGAGAGAGGGGAAATTATGCTAGGAATGCTAGTTTAATTTTGCTAGCAGTGTTACCATAGAAACCCGAGCAGAGAGGCTGATTGGTCGCCGTGGAGCTGAAGTCAGAGACACCCTCAGCTCAGTCTGAGAGTCCAGCCTCAGAGCAGCGAGTGTGTCGAGTGTAATGACAGTCACACACTGTTACTGTGGGGCTTTGATGACACAGCATGAATCACTGCTTATTGTTTTCTCTTGTTGCTCACCAGGAGTAACTACTGACATGTTATTCAACCATTTCTAAGAGTCAAACATTGTCACTTTCACAAGATAGAATATTTGTTTGTAAACAACGTTGGTCTTGTCTTTGTGAAGAAAAAAATCCGTCAGATAAAGCCAGTGATGATGGCAGATTCAAAACTGGTCGAAAATGAAAAACACTTTGTTTGAAAGTAACATTTGTGTTGCATAAGTTAACTCAAAATAATACTGTAGGGTCAATGTTGAATCAGGTAGGGTTCCCATCATTTCTTCACTTTAAAAAAACTAAACGTTATTTATAAGACATATTTTGTATGACTTGACTATGTCCATAGCATGCATGAACATCAGATCTATTGCCTTAGCCGACAGAAAGGCCTGTTTTTAGATCTGGATATACTCCAACATGGCTGATAGACACTGGACACCCAGTCTGTTCATACTACAACAGGCGTTTGCACACAGTGGCATATATGACAACAAGTATAGATACAGATATATAAACAAATATATATATATAAATAAAAGATACAGGAGTGCAGTGGTAAGGAATATTGGCTATTAACGTGCTTCATCTCTCAGGGGCAGACCAAGATGTGGGACATAGGACTGTTTCCCTTTTACTGTGCAAAAGACAACAAAAACAAAAAAAGGTTTTGGAGACAAATCCCAAAAGTTCTTAAGCCTAATTAGCACCTGCTGATATAATTCATTACTTTAATCTGTCATCGTGACAAATGTCTCCCGCTATTACTCATGATTGTATAAATGTCAGTTAATTTTGTATTGCTTTATTAGCATTCAGAATACATAAAACACGACCAATACTGTATAACTTATAAACCTAAGGATTCACCTATTTTACAGAGCCGAAATCTTGAGATCCTAGCTTCAAATTATTTGTAACCACCCAGATCTCAGGAATGATGTGGCCTGAAGACAAAGAATGTGTTTTGTGTAATTGAATCAGCCCAAAACAGCCAAGATCTGTTTAGAGAGACAGGTCTGTACATAACGGTGAAATGGGAATTCACACAAAGAGTCGCACAAAGGGCACAAACATGCCCTAATATGTTAAGTTTCTGGTTATTATTTTTCTTAGACACAGTCACAGGTTACTTGGTATTCAGGGTTGTGGTCTGCACATCTATAAAAGTGACAGGATAGACCCCTCAAAGTCACTTATTAACAGTAGAGCAATACAGTGCACAGTTGGTGTGAGCAGTACAGCATGTTCCCATGTTTCCCTCTGGGAGCCCTGGTGGCTCGATAATGGTGTGGACACAAGGGGTCCATAAAGTCCGCTATTCCTCACAACTGCAACCAAACATTACAGCATGACAGAAAATACAACATACACCAGAGACAGAGCACATGCAGCTTTGTCTAATGTCATTCTGTTTATAACTATTTGAGTAGCAAAGGTCATGCTGTGTATCAGCTATGTACTGTCCTATGCTACACTCAGCAGCTCTACAGATTGACAAATAGACGTAAATTATAGTTTTTTTCTTCCTTTACAAGATTGTGTGATGCAATACAGTCTATTTCTCAAAGACTTTGTGTTGCTGCTTACTTTTCTTTTACATAAAACTGTACAAAACTGTTCGTTTGTTTGACAGTTTGACATGGCCACACTTTGGTGTTCAAGTGCTTATACATTTAATAAAACAAATGCCATAAGAAGTGTAAAATTTGAATACAATTTGTATGTCTTCATTTTTGTTAGAAAATAATAAAAAATTGATCTTTATGTAGCTGTTCTGTACTGCCAATCTATTATTCAGACCTTTTGCGAGAAAATGACTGAAGGTCTAATCTTTCTTCCTTGTCTGCCTTAAAAAAAGCATCAAATATTTTGTAAGGTCACTTTATTTTCTCTTTGTGACCTTTGCTGCCAACACGAAGACCAGGACACAGCTGTGCAGTCTGTATCACTTTGAGCTCAGAACTTCTCATCGCTAACCATGTTTTGCCAACAAGGTTATTTTATGTCGCTTTTTTAGTAGCAATAGGCGCGTTCACACCGTAGTACTTTTCCCACTTTAGTTCCAATATAGTTCCAAAATGTCGCCATTTAGCATTATTAGCATTGGCCCAGCGCAGAAACGCAGAGAGACTAACTTATGGCAACACAAAAGAAAACATGTGTCGCGTTCACACCAAAAAGAGCCGGAACTAAAATTAGTTAATCAGAACCTTTTTTACCCCCTTTTCAGTCCCTGCTAGAGAGCAGGGACTTTCGTAGGAGAAAGGGGTTCCTGTGTCTGATTGGCTGGGCGGAATGCAAGCCACGCCCCGTCAAACTCCCAAAAACGTTTGTGAAGCCGCCATTTTATTAGCATTATTAGCATTAGCATTAGTCCAGCGCAGAAACACAGAGAGACTAACTTATGGCAACACAAAATAAAACATGGGAGCGGTGGAGATGAGGAGGTGCCGGCGTTCTGGTGATTTACTCGGAAGGCTTCAGTAGAAGCCGCTGGGAGTCCCAGCAGCTCCTACTGAAGCCAGTCCCCAACTCCGGGGACTTCCGACCGGGGACTTCGGGTGGCAGTATACGCCGTGAAGTTGTTTGCGGCCTGCCAGTAAACCCAAAGCAGAAGAAGAAGGAGTGACGTCAGCGGCTTTATTTGCCTAATCCTCCCTCAGGGATTTATTCCGGTGTGAACGCGATCTGTTCATGAACTAAAGAGTTCTCATGGACTAAGTTCTGATGAAACTTTGTGGGAAAAGTACTGCGGTGTGAAAGTGCCTAATGTGTCTCAAAAACATGTGATTTTTTCCAGCCCTAACATGGGCAACTAACAGAATAACTCAATCAGTCACTCTGAACAGTCCTTAAAATCACTTCAATTTGCCAGGATAATTATAATCACCTATGGGAGTGTACCGTGGGCCTTTCATTCGTTGGAGACAAGTTTGAATCAATGACCTGCAATTAATTTAAAGAAAAAAGTATATCAAATGTTTCCCTTGATTATTATCAGGAATCAGGGAAATGTAAATAAGAAAAAATAGAATATGCATTTATTTTTCTCTTTTTCACTTCCTCCCTTTCAGCGTTGTACGATTATTGTTTAGCTAAAGCCAATAGCCGGATATATTACCTAAGCAGAAGCAGAAGGAAATGACTAGCAAGGCAATCCAACAGGTAAGAAAATATAGGTGTATTTGTATAAAACACGAATGTTGCCTTTTAATGGGGGGTTATGTACCAGCCTTTTCCTGGTTTGGATTAGAAACGGTCTGGAGCCTCTGTTGACTGGAAATGGTATTTCAAAATGTCAAACTATTCCTTAACTGTCAAACTGTTCCTTTAAATTAGTCAATACAAGTGTTATAATTTGTTAAAAGCTGTATAGCACAGAATAACATGTACTTTTCTGCAGTCACTTTTTTCCCATAATGCCAGATTCGCTTTCGCTAAATCTACGATGCTATTGTCATTTTCTAATTTGCTAGTTTTTGCATGTGGCCAATGTACTGAATATGTATCCCAACATCAGCAACATATATTACTATCTTTAGCATCAATACAGGCTCTACTTCCCCAAAACCTATACTGGTCTGAGGTCTGTTCTCAAGTCATGTCTTTGAAAGCATCAGCGACAGAAAGACAGGTCTTATCTC